TCTTTCTTTTTTTTCAGGTTCAAGCTGATCCGAAATACCACGTTTGAGTAATTGAAAAATGCGACCAAATCGATATCATTCAAATTTTTATAAGCAAATATTTGATCTCTGAACTATGAATAAACACTGCATACACTTTATCTATCAGTAGCACACAAGATATTTCGACCGAAAAAATATAGGATGTCCTATATTCTCCTATATTTTTGACTCCGAACTCCTATTTATTCACCAAAATGGTCTGGTCACATTAAACATAGCAATAAATTGGAGCCAAGTTCAGTGTTGTTTTGCATTTTGATCCCGAATCATTGAAAACACCAACTGTTGTAGCTATGGTGAGGTGATTTCAAGCTTTGAAAAAATAAAACGCAAAAACATTCCCTAATCAAACTCGTTTTTTTGCTCTCTATTTGTCGATCAAAAAGTATTTGTGCACAAAGAAAATTGTGGCAGTAAAGAAAAAACAACAGTGATCGATAGACAGATCTATTTTGTGATGATAAACAATTAATTTACTTAGGCAATAAATTAAGTTTTGTTACAAAAAGAAGTCTTCAAATGCGAAAAAGAAAATTGGGAAATAATTCTAGGAATGAATCAGAAGCTGTTTACCTACAATATAAAATAACCTGATTGTCTTGGAGATTACTAAATACCTCTTCATGCATGCTCTTTGGTATACGATGGTAATGGCCGAAATTCCCTGGAAAAATCGATTCGGTTAATTTTGAGAAAATGTGTTTATTTGAATGTTTGCGATGGAATTGACCCAATGATCGACGTATAAATGTGAAAACAAATACCAAGTGTACGCTTGGTATTACATTGTGTTCAAATCAAACAAACCACTTTTGCTAAAGTAGTATTGCATTGAAGTGTCAAACATCTTTTACCTAAGAAAAAATACACAACTAGAATTTCAAGTCGATCTGTTCGATTATCCAAAAGCTACGAATAAAAAAATCAACGAAATTTAGACCAAATGATCCGAAACTTACAGAAAACTTTAATTCAAAATATTCAAACCGAACGGATGACGTGCAAAAAATATTTGATTAGAACCTACCGACTTGTGTTACCTTTCAAAATCTTGAGATAACAAGTAAGCAAAAATCAATTGGAAATAATCTATCTATAATGATAGCGTTTCTTTCATATCATATTCTGACAAATTGTTCGTTGTAAAGAATGAATAAAAAATCTTTAGGAACCTTTGGATTGCCGTAATGGCGTGCGTAGAAATGAGTAGGCATTTATTTGATCTTTTCAATCTTTTGGAATCACCTTTGATAAAGCACTGTTATAAAATCGGTCAAATTTGAAACTATTTGCCGAAATCGAAATATGTAAATAAAATGATAATTTAAAATTGAAAATGTATCAAAAAGAGGTGTTCAAACCGGTTCATTAATTTAACTACTTTTAAATCCGCATTAATCACACATCATTTTGGATGACTAGATAGTATATTGAACATAACACGCATGATTTCATCTGTTCATGTTCTCAGTTGTAATGATTAAAAAGCGTTTTCGCAATGTGTAAAACGAGAAACAAAAATTCCAACCTTATCACCAATAAGTCATACTACATGAGCCTTTTTATGAACACTCCAGCTTTCAATAGCACGTAGTATACCTTCAGTTCTGTTTTACATTTTGACTGCGATAGATTGAATAAATCCGTTCTGTTGGCAATGGTAAATGAATCTGTTTTTTTTTCTTCGTCAATTGAATTTATCTATATCGTTTACATAGTTTCATTAAAGTGATGTTCATTTTGTCGATTATTTTCTAAATAATGAATATTGGTTTGTGATTTAGAATCTTCGAATTTTCGCATTTTTGTGTGCGTTGGCCACAACAATCCATGGATATAATGTGTTAGTGATGGTGCCTATAAATGGGAAAAGCCATTGGAATTACATGGAAGTGTTCGTTAAGGAGCTGATTAATCGTGGACATCAAGTGACTTGCATCACGAGCATAACTATCAGTGGACCGAAACCTGATAACTACACTGAAATTCTTATCGATCCACCGTTTAACTTGCAGAATATCAGTAAGTGTCGGTGAATGTGAACAAAAAGTTGCTGAAATGCTCAGACACATGTTGCAATGCATTGATTACACAACTCGAGCGATTCTCTTGAACGAAATCGAATTCGTAGCCAATTGTAAATCAGAAATAAAACGAATTACATACGTAATCCAAACTTTTCCGCTCCGAAGCAATTTAGTTTGCCTCCCGCTTAATTTTTAACCAAAATTTCAATGGACCCTTTTTTCATAGCATTTTTTACCTTCAAATATAACTATTTCGACCATTTTCCATACAAAAGTGTCATTTTCGAACAAAATTTCAAGAAATGTTGATTTCGGACCAAATTTATGGGCAAGTAGGTGTTCGGTTGTTTGATGGCTCCCATTTTTTTTGCAAAGAAACATCAGTTTGCTTCGACCAAAACCCTAAAAAATGGCTTTCTGTGTGATTTTTCATAAAAAAGTCTATTTTTCGAGGAAAATTTCAAGAAATGTCGATTTTGGACCAAATTTATGGGCAAGTAGGTGTTTGGTTGTTTGAAGGCTCCCATTATTATTGCAAAAAAACATCAGTTTGCTTTGAGCAAAACCCTAAAAAATGGCTTTCTGAGTGATTTTTTATACAAAAGTCTATTTTTCGAAGAAAATTTCAAGAAATGTCGATTTTGGACCAAATTTATGGGCAAGTAGGTGTTCGGTTGTTCACAGACTCCCATTATTTTTGCAAAAAAATGGCAGTTTGCCTTGATCGAAACCCCGAAAAATGCCTTTTTCGGGTACTTCCCGTACAAAAGTGTCATTTTTCAAGGGTTTTCAGGTCCTCAGTCAGAGGCTTATGGTACGAAATTGGTAAATCAGAATGAGCTCAAAATCAATCCGAAGCTTTTTCTCGACATGCCAAAACTTTTGGCTTTTACAGATCTCAATTATCTTGTCAACTTTTTGAGATAATCGGCGGACAAAAAGCTCGGACGCGGACGCGAACGACGCCATACGCACATCGCTATTTTGCACATATTTCATAGTAAACAACATGTTTTTGGGGGTAGATAGGTCTTGATCGATAGAATTTGATCCCATCTACATTGCCTAGTGTACAGATATGTGCTTTTTCAAGTTTGGCGTGACGTTATAGTGGTCCGAAAGAGGAGATGCCATGAAATTTTGCCTAGTAAATCGAATACTTTTCCATACAAACAAAGTTTGCGGAAAAGTAAAACATCTTTGTTGAAACAATTGTTATTTGTTTTCTGTTTTCACCTAAATGTACGTGGTGTTTTGTGCAAATGATACATTTAATTTCGAACAAAAATGTTTACAAACGAATTTTTCTACACAAAAAATGATTTGACATTGATGTCGTTCTGGACATTGAACTTGAAGTTTAAGTTCAAAGTTAAAATACGCATAACATAATTACAGAAGATAATTCTAAATGTGTTTTTCTTACAGTAAAACATGAGGATATGTTTTCGACCGTTTCGGATTCACCATTCAAAACAGCAGCAATATTTCCAATGTTTGCTAACATGTCAACTGACTATGCGCTTAGCAGCAAAAATGTTCAAGAATTTATCAAGCGGACCGATTTATATTTCGATTTGGTTATAAATGAGGAAATCTATCACGATGTATTTCTTATGTTTGGAAAGAAATTCAATGCACCAGTGGTGACGATTTGTGAGTATCTTTTAATCAGTTGAATGAAATGGTTTTCTGAACCAACTGTTTAATCACAAATATTCATCGCAGGTCCTTATGGAATCGCCAACTTTTTCGATTACGACATGGGCCTCACAACACCACTTTCCCATATAAGTCATACAAGTACGTTTAGAACAATCTTTTCTACATTTATATAACAACTATCAACCATGGTTCAAAATATATTCAAAAGAGCATCTAAACTGAGTTTACTGCGAAAAACATGTCTTTTACGCTAACAGCAATTCGTTTACGTACGGTTGGGTCAGTGTGACAGTTAATGTGAACAAAACAAAGTTTGACAGCAGAGTCCGTTTAAATGTTCTTTTTTTAAAATCGATTCTAATGATATCAACTCTTGCAGTGCTTACATTTACCGATAAAATGGACTTCAGCCAGAGATGGTATAATGCCATGCTCTCTTTATATGATTACATTTTACATCGTTTCATTCACATTTCGGCGCAAACCAAAATTCTCAAGCGGCATTTTGGTCACATGGAGCCGTTGCCATCGATTGATGAGCTTCGCAAGAATATTTCTCTGATTTTTGTCAACGCACACCGAAGCATCACGTATCCACGTCCTTCGATGCCCGGGTTGATCTTTATTGGTGGGGCACACATCAAACCACCGAAGCCACTGCCAAATAATATTCAGCAATTTTTAGACGAAGCAAAGCACGGTGTTATCTACTTTAGTTTAGGAACTGTTGTTAATACGTCAAAAATGCCAAAAGAAAAACTTCAAGTATTTTTAGGTAAGAAAGATTTTTACTAAGAACCTTAAAATTCTAGTAAAATTCGATCGATCAATCGTAAAATGATTGATTTTGAATTTGAAAATGAATTTAAAAAAAAAGTTTATTTTTCAGACACTTTCCGGAGGTTGAAGCAAAGAGTCATTTGGAAATTAGAAAATGAATCTATTCCAAACTTGCCGAAAAATGTGATGGTAAAAAAATGGTTGCCTCAGACCGATATACTCGCCCACAAAAATATCGTTCTTTTCATTTCGCATGGCGGCATGTTTTCAAATTTCGAGGCTATCAATTACGGTCATCAGCTATTGGTGATTCCATTTGTGGGCGATCAATACAGAAATGCAATTCGAGTGGCAAGCACTGGATATGGAAAGTTCATGGATTTCAGAGACATAACAAACGAGTCCTTGTATGGTACCATCAATGAAATGTTAACGGATGACGTGTATTCGAAGAAGGCAAAAGAGATCTCAGCGATATTCAGGGAAAATCAAGTCCACCCGATGGACGATTTCATTTGGTGGATTGAGTATGTCATAAAATTTCGAGGAGCGAAACATCTGAAGTCCGTTGCTGCCGACATGCCATTGTTTTCTTACCTACTATTGGACGTGATATTGGTCAATTTGTTCGCAGTCTCAGCTGTTATATTTGGTGTTTATTTCTTTATAAATAGAGTTTTGTTCAGGAAGAAGAGTATCGCATTGGATAAAAAACAACAATAAATGAATAGAATAGACTTAAGCTTCAACTTCTCCAAGCTAAGATAGTAGTTAACTAAATAAAATACCCGCACAAAATAGAAGCAGTTGGTAACACATTTTTAAATTATGAAAAAGTCTTTTAATGAAATCAATATTGAACATTCAATTCGACAAACACTTTGTGTGGTTTACAAAAAATCTTACTAAAACAAATGTATATCGTCCAAAAATGTTTACATTTTCTATATAAATTTGACATTGGTTTTGCAAGCAAAAATCATAAGTTAAGAATAGTTTTGGGGTGAATCTCCAGTTAAATGCTTATTCTTGCATTGGTTCTTCAGCCGGTACGCGTAAAACTCGAGGTCCATACAAAAGAACATATGCACAATGCCAATCGCCACCGCCACTCAAACGAAGGATTTCCTCTGATGTTATGGGACTAACAGCATCGTCATCAAATTTGTACCACTTATCTTCGGTGGGTGATTTACGTACCCAACCAACATAATGGCCTGACGAACTTGAGCGACCTTGATGTGTTAAAACTGCATGCAAAGTGTAATAGCCACTATTATTGCTCCCAATATCACCGTCGAAGGAGAACGGCAAAGCCATTGTTTTATCATCTTCCTCCGTTGGCTTCAGCTGTTTCTCCTTGGATTTCGGATTCTGAAGGGCAGCATCTTCAATTTCCTATTTTAATACATTCAATTCAATTATTTTTTTAGCAAGTTTATTAAAGTTTATTCTCTTCATCTCTATTGAAAAGAAAGTGTTTTCTATAAGAGAAAATTTGTACCTTGAATTTCGATCGCATTGGTGTCAATTCCTCTTGAAGTGATTTACTGCACAATTCAAATGCATCGAAATCGATGGGGAATTTGATATCTTTCAACACTTTAGCATTGATCCCTTCCTTGCCTTTGTATTGAAACCGTACGAAATTCACAGTTAAATAAGCCGGCAAACGACTGATTTTTGACTAAAATTGAAATTTTGAAAAAAGTCATTAGATTTTTCGGCGAAAAAAAGTTTGAAATTTCGTAGAATATTTACAGTTCGAGTATAAAGTGCATCTCGGTCGAGCGTTGGCGATTTCTTCGTTAGCTGTTCTTGGAGTTTCTGAAATGAATGGAAGAAAAAAAAGATATTCAAAATGAAATCAATATTCAAACCCAAATAAATAACTAAATTCAATTCGAAAACCAAATCCAATTATTTGACCAGATTTGAATGACATTGGCGGGCAATGTGTGTCTCACCGATTTAATTCCGCTTAACATGTACTTGACTTCTTGCGAAATGAAGCAACTCAACTGCAGGAAATTTTCTTTGCTGTGAGTTGGTTGCTCATCTTCAGCCTCCGAGCATTTCATTTCTACGTCGAATGTACCGCCGAAGAATTGATCAACCAACGAACTGCAATACGAATTTGTAAAATTTGTCAATTAAAAAATTTAATCCAATAATCCAACACATTAAAATCTCGTAGAATCGTTTGAAACTGAAGTAAAAGCCAGTGCTTTTTGGTAAACCTACTTATAGCTTGGACTCAGTTCGCCTTTCTTAATGGGCTTCAACTTTTGCTGCAGCATTTTCAATAACTCTGACCAACACTCGTTGGCATCTTGTTGCCTGTAGGCGCCATTCTCTCCGGTTTGGGCAAACTGCGGGAATGCCATGTGCAGAGTTTGCAACAGCAAAACCGGTGTCACTGTATTGCCACTGTCCATTTGATCGAAAACCGATCGCATAGCGGCCGTAATCGATTGGGCGGAAGCTAACGAACTGATCGAAAAATCTTCCTTGTACTCTTTTAGTGAATCTCGAAGCTCTGGAACCGATTTTAAACATTGGACGACAGCATTCATGTAGCACGTATTACCGAGATTGGTTAGACCAGCTGGCAATTTCAACTGTGAAAGACCAAAATAATGTAATTATTTCCTTTCACAATTTAAATTTAAAAAAAAAGAACCGAACAACTGCGTCGGAAAAAATTGGTTGAGCCAGTAATACATACAGCTGAAGCTAATTCCGATTCGTTCATATCTTCTATGAATTTCGGTCGTTCAATTGGCTCGGACTCAATTAAATCATCCTTTGTTGTACCAAGCAACAAAATTACTGCACCCTAAATTGAAATTGAAATAAAATGATGATTTTCGAAATTTCAGCAAAAAGTCAAATGAAAACGATGGAACGTCAATCGAATCAAAATACACACATCTTTCAATGTAAAGTTCCATTCGTCATCTTTAAGGGCGACTCCTTTGCACATAACCTTTTGCCGGTGTGGTTGAACGCCAGTCAATGCAAACAGTTGTGCCTTGAAAACCATCGGGTCTTCGTCCGTGTTTACTTCAATTTTTGGGAAATTCTCACGGCCCCATTTTACTTTAACTAAAAACGAAAAATGCAACAATTTTTTTTTGCACAATCATCACACCGTATTTGGAGCACATAACAAAAAACAATTACACATGCACAATAGCAACTCACCATTAAAAGTTGGCATTTTCGGATGCAATTAAACACTATCGCTCAATCAATAATAAAATTTATAAAAAAAAATGTTATTTTCTAATATATGGATTTATAAATTAGAATGATTTGAAGTCAATGCAAAATGAGAGAAACAATTGTAATGAAAATTACGAGATAGAATTTCCAATGTTATTCGGTTAGATTTCGTGATATGAAATCTCAAATCCGATTGTTGTTTGTTTCAAATATTAAGTAGCAATGACTCGGCTATTTACTAAGAGAGAAGTGACAGTTGGTCGGTGAGAGTGTGTGCGTGCGAGTGTGAGTAGATTTCATTATCGATACACAAGTGTCAACATATGAGGAATACTTACAAAAAATCCATGGATTTTTCCATCACATTTGCATTTTTTGCCTAGGAAATATAAAAAGTTTCGATGATTTGATCGATAAATAATTTTGAAACGATTCAATAAATATTTCAACCAATCTACCTCACACAAACATCCAACTGATTGATGTAAACATAATCGCCATCCGCCGTGTGAACGATGCATTAGACATTTCTGCGTTTGCTCATCAGTTTGCGGTTGTTCATTCACCTAGACATTTCGACGTAGAACAGCGACACAATCCAATACACAGCGAGCGATAGATATGTCAGAACGGCCTTGAAATTCGATGAAAAATACACTATATGTTTTTCATTTTTGTTTTGCTGATTGATTCGCTTTTGAAAATCGCTTCCATCTCTACTCACTATTCTGTGTTTTCTCTATCTCGTCGCGGACATTTTTTTATCCAAAAAAATCTAAATTCAACTCTAAATTGATTGATAAGCTACGCATTTTTTTACTCGATTGTGACGTGAATTGTGTTGTGATTTTAATTTTTGGTGTTCTGCACACATCGACAAATAGAAAGAAAGAGAGAAAGCGAAAAAAAATACTCCTGTCGTGTTTGAGATTACATTTGCATTTGACATTTTTCTTTGTTCTACTGGCTGGTATTCATTTTATTTAGTCCATAAAAAAAAGAGTCCACATTAAGTTAAATGTTGTGGAATTGTTGAATTATTGGAAAAAACTCAAAAAGTGGCGAAATAAATCGATAAAAGAAATTCATCAAATCACATGAAGAAATTCATTTATTTTCAAAGTGTAATGCTGCTGCAAAGTGCGTAGTTTGTCATACAAAGACAGAGACATAGACACGTCCAATGCAAAACATAGAAAATATGTGATCGAATGTCAACCAATGAAAATACAAGTGTTTTAAGGCTTCCAATAAGAATATTGCATTGAGCACAGAGTGAATATTTTGTTTGTCTTTCCATTTTGGCACAAAAACATGTGAATAAAAAAAGACAGAACTAAACCAGAGAAAAAAAAACGATGGAAAATTGAGCGAGACATAATTGATGCGCATAAAAAGTGCATCGCACAATGAATCGAGAAAAGTTCATTGAACTCTGGTACTAGTCTAGTGTTTGTGTGTAGTGAATAGAAGGAAAAAAAACGTCAATTTTTTTTCACATCCAAATGGGTAGCTGTATGAGCAGCGCTAGTCGCAGCAACAGCAAAATGGAATTGAGCGACGCTAGTTCGAATATATTTCGGGTAACAAATATCGATGATAATGGCGTATCACTGTGGAATGGCCAATTGGGTTTGTCGCGAACGGAAATCACATTGTATCGCAAGAATTTAGAGCCGACCCGATGGCCTTTGAAGTGCTTACGACGCTATGGTTATGATACGGAATTATTTTCGTTTGAAGTTGGCCGACGATGTGCGACGGGCGAAGGGATTTATGCGTTCAAATGTCGCCGGGCTGAGACACTCTTTCAAACACTCCAAACTTATATTCAAATGTCAACAACGGTGGGCGATGATACAATGGGCAATTCAACGATATCACGCAACGATGCATCGTCGCCAATGTCAACGCTGAGCAATCAAAATTCAACCACAAACAATATGGTTGGATCGTATATTTTGCCAAATTCACGATCATCCAATACGAATACACTACGAAATGTGCCATCCGACGACCAACGTCGCAGCTATGATGCATCGGATACGAATTATTTGGAGCCAATTTTAGCGACAAATTTAAATCGAACCATGCCACATTTTCATACATTAGCCGATGGAACAATTTCCGTTGAACCATTGTCACCCAGTTCGCCAAGCAGTTTAAACAACATTCTCGAAGTCACTTCACTAAATCCATTGCCAAACACGGGGCTCAACAACAATGGTGTGAGCAATTTGTATTCGGAATTTGTGTTGCGCGGCAATAATACCAAAGACAGTAACAGCCGTGAGAATTGTGTGAAAAAATTGTCGTTGGATATTCCGCCGCAGGAATATGCACCGACGGCCGCCAACAGTTTTTCATCACCAATCGATGCGTCTGCCCTTCATTCACAAGTGATAGCCAATGCAAATCAATTCAATGGCAACCAAATGTTGAGCAATGAAAATCTCCCACATTCGCTACCCGTTTCACCGACACAATCGAACGATACATCGGACTCGATACCCACATACGTAAATGTCAACATGACACCGGGTGAAATTAGCTCGAGCGCTGCATCAACACCAAAAGTACTGCTCGGTGATTACAAACAAAGCCAACTCTTTCGGAATAATATCAACAATAACAATTATTTAGTCGATTCGACGCATTGCTATGAGAATTTAGAGCCGAATGAAGTTCGACCGATTTTGTTACGGAACCAGAATCGTCGTTTGTCTCTATTGAAAACGGACAGCGTTATCAATTCACCCACAATCATTAACGAAAACATTTCCGAACCATCAACACCGAACAACAGTGGAGGTGTTAACTATATTGTACTCGATTTAGATCAAAGCCATTCACAACCAACTGCACCCGCTGCAGGTGGAAATGCCAATACAGAGACAACGTTAAGCTCAAGTTCATCACCGGTGAAAAATCCAAATGCCATTGCATCCGCGACCATGAGTCCTTCGGTGAGTGCAAGCACAACTACGCATTCAGTGTCGTCATTGATGCTGCCAGACAGTCCCCAGCGTAAAGCATTCGACTATGTGACCATCGATTTTAACAAAACAAACGCATTGTCCAATTCCATAGCGCCCACCACTGAATGCGAAGGCTCGCGCAAAACACGGCACAGCTCCAATGTTTTACCCAACGTTCCACCTGCCGCCATCAATGCAAACACACCGTCATCGCACAGCAACTCGGTTAGTGATTAATAAGTCAACGAGAGCACACGCATAATTGAGAATCAACCAGTACATTGCGTAGGCATTAAATGTCAAAAGCTTCAACCAGAAGCGGAGATTATGTATTTACAAGGGAGAAATTGAGAAGAAATTTACCGAGGAATTACTTGCAATGTAATCAAGAAGATCATGATTTTTTTTCTAAAATTGTTAGTACCGACCATTTGACTATTTTTTCGGCTTAAAGTTCGATATTTGATGTGAAAGACTTTTTTTAGAAGAAGAAAAAATCGGAAAATCGTAATTTTTTTTTGTTGAGAACAATTGCGTTGCATATATTTGTAAGAAGTTTCAATGTTTGCCTTTTTGGAAGGTCGCGACGATTTAGTTTTATTCTTTGGAGGAGTTCACTGAATTCCACGTTTTCTATATATACGTATTGTCATGTTGAATGAAATGTCAATGAGGAATAAGAAAAGGTGTAAAACCAACAGTTTATTTGACAAATGCCAAATTCAATTAAAAACAAATTGTGTATTGAGTGGGTAATATTTAAGGAAGAAAATAAATTTTCTAGTTTTTAGCTGCAGCTAAAAGTAAAATAATTGTGTGTGGTAAAGAAAAATGGCAGCTCTATCAAATGAATATTTATGGTAAATGGCAATTGTTTGTGCCGCCCGAATTTATATGTAAATAAAATTGATATTGATTTTAGGAAGAAAACACCAGAAAATTTAAATATATACACAATTTTACAAAGGATTCTTCCATTTTGCACCGGAGAAATGATTGTATTCTCTTTTCCGAAGAGAGAAAAAGTAACGAAACATGAAGAAGATACAAATTGATTTGATGACAATATTTTTTCAAGTAATTCCGAATTGCAGCTAACTTTTAATTGCATCCAATTTGGGGCAACATTTCTTCCTATTTTTTGTTCTCTCTAGTGAACATTGTTCAAGAAACAGTTCAACAGTGCTAACTTTATTAGTGAATATTACTCAATTTTTGTTCACTGAACAAATACATCACATCATTTTCTGTTTGCCAAAGATTTTTCAATAGATTTTTTTAAATAATATTTATAGACAAAAAACAATGTAACGAAACCAAACATATAACAGCAAATTTTGACATTTGGAGATGAAAAAACGTAGTACTCCATACAAAGACATTAAATTTTAAGGAATTTTCAACAGAAGAGACACAAAATACATCGAATTAAATGACATTTCAACGTAGATTTGTTTAAAAGAATTTTTTTCTCAAAGATGGAATGATGGTGAAAAAAAGATTAGAATTTATTTAAATGTTGTGTTAATTTCTAGACTTTGTTTTATTTTGTTGCAACAGCACAAAAAAAGAAATCAACGGTTTTTAAGTGATTTGATGTAGTTTAATTCAAAAATGAAACTAAATATATGTATATGAATTTTATTGAAAAAGATATGCTGAAAACAGGACAAAATACATTTTGTGTGCGACGCTGTCATCAGTCATTTTGAGAAACACAAGAAAAATCAAAGAAAAATGTTACAAATTATAGTCAAATTACATCTATAAGGCCTAAAGAAGCTCATTGATGATACATATGGCTTTTAGATATTATATATTCACATTTAAGAAGCAAAACTAACTTTTCTAAATGTAGATTGAGATTAGCCAAAATGAACACAAGAAGAAAAATATATATTAAACCAAACAAAACCAATGAAAAGCTTTCACCATTTTTAGATATAGATTTACCAAATACCAATAGAAATATTTTGTGCGTGCGAATTTCACCATGTTGTTGTTTTCAAATCAAACAAAAGTGCGATGCCAAAAAAATGAATAAATAAAAGGAAATTCTCAGCATTGGCACATATACAGAGAAATGATTTTGTTTTGAGTTTCTTTTTTTTTCTAAATTGCAAATTTACGATTTTCTGATTTCATTATTGATGATTCGAAAATAACACAGAAATCATTCAGAGTTTGAACATATTGAATTGTACTGTTTATGTGATGATTGAGGCAAAACTAAATTGTATTATTTATTAATCAAATTGAAATAATAATATATGCGCATCACAGTTAAAAAAAATATATTTAGAATGAAAAAAAATTTGGTGGATTTTATTGACTTTTGTTCAAATGGAATTTTTTAGCGGAAATTTTCAGACGTTCGTTAAGCTGAAGCTAAGGTGAGTTTCAGAAAAATCTCGAAAATGTCCAGAAATGATCACCAATGAATTTGTTGGAGTTGATATCAGAACAATCTCTATGAGGATTATTTTTAATTAAGAAAAAATTGTTCTCAGAAAAGGTTTCAAAGATGAAATTTGAATCACACAAAGTCAATATAATCGACGAGAAAGCCTAAATGCATTTATTTCTTTGTTATGAATAATTATTTTGATTTTAAAAATGAAACTTTGGGCTTAAACCCATATAGATAGATGGATAAAAACAATGATTCGAGTTTATTTTATTTTTCACATGAAATTATTGATTTGTTTGTGGAAAAAAAATAAAGCCAATAGACACCGTTGTATACAACACCATTCAAGATTCGAACTGGCGCCCTGTATACCAGAAATCCCACCATCACCACAAACACATACACAAGGAATTTCACATGCGCAGTTTGACAGATGTGGCGTTGACGTTTCTTCACAGTGTTTTTGACAAGTATTCATCAAAATTGATATTCTGTTTACTTGATTTACTTTGATGTTTTGCTAGCAATCGATTAAATGTTTTTTACATGATTATCATTACAAAATATTATATCCTAAATAGAAAATGATTTCGTCTGATCCGGTATTAGATGAAAGAGTAAAAAAGAGTAAGTATTTTTCACTTTGTCGTATAAAGGACCGAATAATGTGAACAATTTGCATGTTTTTTCTCTCATTGTTTATCTGCAGCGAGTGAAAAAATCTCGGAAAATCTCCATATAATCGCCAATGATCCATCGTTGGCATTCTATCGAATGCAGGAGCACATTCGAAAAGGTGAGTATTGTAAAATTCTTAGAACAAACACTTGACACATCTCATTTGAATCAAACTGAAACATCATTCACAGTGATGCCAATGATTGTGGAACGTCGAGCAGAGGTGGAACATTTGCAACGTGGCTTACAAGGGCGTTGCTATGACCTGGAATACTCCTTAAGGTACATTTCTATACAATTCAAATGTTTATAACTCTGTGTAACACATTTAAAACCAAAACATTGGAAAATTTTCAGTGCAATCAAATCGGTAGATAAGTCGGACGAAACATTCAAAAATGTGCAGGAATTGCTAAAAAGTGCCATATTTCTTAAGCAGCAATTGAAGGGCGAGGAAGCAAAACGGCGACCAAGCACAGCTGGCAGCCAGAACTCGGTTTACAAGAGATTATCAGGTAGAAGAATTTTCGCATTTTGCGAATCGCACAGATGTAGAGATGTAGAATCGATCTTTGCGTGAGCTAAATGTGTTGGAGTTTTCAATTTGTATACGACACTTTCATGGAATTATTGCCATAAAATTTACGGTTCTTGTTTTTGTTCGCAGCCCACATTCAAACCACACTGGAATTGCCTGATCTCGATTTCTCGGTTGCATTGCGTGAAACCACTTCTCGCGTCGAAAATATGATGTCAACCGCTAGGAATGGTTCAACACAAAATTCAGTCACACCAAGCAGTCGGGCCAGCAGTAGTAGCAATGTTAGTGTTAGCAGCGAAGTAATGCAACGGTCTCATACGACACTTCACTAGATTTAGGCCATAAGGAGACAATTGTACTCATCTTTAGACAATTTATGGAATCTTTATGTTAAGCGTTTTCTTTTTTATTATAATAAATCAAACAATTGCTTGTTGAAATTGCTATGGATGCTTTTGGAATTACAACCGATTTAATGCCACCGAATAAAATACTCCACGAAGGTGGTTTTTCAAACGAATTGAATATTCGATGTAAATTTTCATTTGAAAATCATATATTTTCTAGAAAAGAAAATACAAATATTCCAACTTTTGTTTATCCGAGTCGTTTAAATAATAATAACAACAGTACGAACTAGTTTGCTGGTTTACAGCATGGTTTATGACAACGGATTATGGAGATTATGAGCTGAAACTGAATTCGAAATACCTGTATTTTTTCTCAGTATATTATAACTTGAACTTCTGACATTGACAATAAATATATATATAACTTGCAATGACGAAAGACGAGCTCAACATGACGGTCGTTACAGTTACATATAATGTGTGTTCAATATATAAACTGCATTTGCGTCAAAAAAAATTCGTGACAATTATTGGAGATATAATTATCGTGTTTATGTCAAAAACACTACACTCAAACCATTCTCCGTAAAAATTTTGAGTTTTTTTACTCCAAATAGGAGTAATACACATACACTTCCTAACGGAGTAAGTGTTTGTATGAGTGTATTCCATTGTGGTGTAATATTCTATACCATTGAGTCTACTTCATTATAATTGCCAGCTTTTGGTGGATTTATTTCGGTTAAAAAACAATACATTTGAATAAATTATGAAATTTTTTTTTCTTCAATTTTTGAATCGAAGCCGATTGCATTGCACATTACACGGTAGTAACAAAAAAATGAACAGTTCCATGTGTTCATTTCAGAAGTCTCAAATATTATAACAGTATAACTAATAGATTTTTGGTTATAAAATTGGTAAATAAATGGCTGAATAGCTACGGGAGAACATAAGCTAACTTTTAAGAGAAAAAATGAGTATGAGGATCAAAAAGCTAACAAAAAATAGGTAGTTTGGTAGTTTAGTTGCTGCTACATTTTTCACTTTCAACCTTGGTTGAAGATACAAGTTTGTTCCAAATTCTCGCCATGGCTTGCTTGTTTAGGTGTATACGTGCATTGATTGGTTATTTTGCTTTGAATCCATGGCAAGAAATTGGCAACACGAGTAAAAACTGGTGGCGTTCCAGGATATAAACCGGATTTGTGACCACTAAAAGTAGGAAATATTTTTGTTTTGTTTTAATTTCTCGCGAAAATGTTCGATTT